TTTATATAATAAGGCTTGTTATCAAGATTTAACATGTTTACATTTTCAATGATGAAAACACCGGAGTTATAGTTTCTATTTTTTTTAATCTATGATTGTCATGTAAAAAAAAGCAGAAAATATGTTTGTATGTTTTTAAAGGAAAACGATTAAATGTCTTGTATTTAAAAGAGTTGGATATTTTCACGTGTTGCTGGCATAAAGCAGAGAAAATCAACGTCCCAAGTTTTATGTATTTATATTCACCCTGTCTCCTTTCAGGTGATGATGATGGGAAGCTCTAAAGTAGCAAGATTGCTGCTTGAAAAGGGAGCTGAACCCAACATCCAGGACAAACACGGTATCGCCCCGGTCCATGACGCAGCGCAGACGGGGTTCCTCGAGACCCTGGAGGTTTTGGTGGAGCACGGGGCTTCTGTTAACCTCCAGGACCAGAACGGCGCCCTCCCCATCCACATCGCCATACGAGAAGGCCACCGGGAGGTGGTGGAGTTCTTAGCTCCCCGCTCAGACCTGAAACATGCAAACGTCAGCGGTCAAACAGCAATAGACGTCGCTCGAGCTCTGGGTGAGCTGGATATGATGAACTCGCTCTTTGCTCACATTCACAGTTAGAAGAATGAACCATCTGTGAATTGAACCTCACTTTTTTAAGTTTTGCATTGTTCCTGGTGACTTGAATACATGAATTTGTTCTTGGTGGCTGAGCATTAAAATGTGACGGGGCGTATTGTCTTGGCAGCTTCTTTTCATTGGATTGGTGGCTATATACTGTAGACACCTTATGCACAGTGCAGTTTAGGCACCTTATATTTACATTCTTTCCCTATTCATTGGGAGTGCACAGTTGTAGTTAGTTGTCCTCCAGTGTTATGTGATTTTTACATCTTTTCTGTTGCGTGCATGAGTTATAACAGTTCTTACACATGTTTTTGTTTTGTAATTTACAAAAATGATAAGGTGCACCCTGATTGCTTTGCATAGTTGTGTTTTTCTTAATTAGATGTACTTAGACTTTGAATTTGCTCTTATTTATTTTTGGAATAGGAATTCATATTCCTGTGACTTTGTAAATGGTGACATTTAATGTGATTTGTTGAAATGTTATTTATATAAATACTTTTAAGACAAAAGTGAGATTATTCACTTAAATATGAAGAAAGCACAAAATAAAGTCATGAACTTTGTCTCGTTGTCTTTGTTTTTTTTTTGTCTCTATTTTGTATCAGGATTTTTTTTAAAAAGCTGAAAATGTGGTATTTAGTAGATTTAAGTCCTTTGTAGGATTAATACACATTTGATTTTATTTTTCAATAAACAATAAGGAAATGATCTATAGTCACTTAAAAAAAAGAAAAATCTTTCGCACTTAAATATGATTTATTAAAGACACGGCCGTTGAGTCTACAGCGGAATGTACAGGACAAGAGAGTTTGTTAAAGGTCACAAAGAAAACTGCGGTGAAGCTGGAAATGAAAGAGATCCCTGTTAGTGGACAGTTTGTTGCCGTTTGTGCTCAGGGCTCTCATGGCACAATGGCTATTTTGTTTGCCTATGCGCCTCCTCCAGCCAACTTTACCAGGAGGGAGAGAGGATACAGTTCAGGTACTGTGCTGCTGGTTCTTTTCGAAGAAAAAAAAAAGTGTATTCACAAGTCACTAAGAGAGCCTTCCAAATAATTCAAGCTGGCTGATTTTGCCATGAGGCTGACTTCTGACTTCAATGCATGTTACAAGGTTTTCTTGTTGTGGAGCAATAATACTTTTTCTTTTTTACATTAGTTTAAATTCACACACGTTTCATTTTTAGTAGAGGCTGCAGACAAGCCAGACTGGTTTTTGCCTTTTGCATCGTATTTACTTCTCTTCACTGTGTATTCCATGTATTTTTTTGTGGGAAATAAACTACTGTACATAATATATTTTTGCAGTGGAAGAAAATATTTAGAAATCAAGTGTTGTATGCATGTGTATGGTCTCCTTAAAATGTCAAAAGTCTAATAATTGTGAAGTCTGATGTCAGGCCTTAGACAGCTAAAACCTTAAAGCAATATCTCTGAAGATAAGAGAATCTGAGCCTCATTAGCAATTTAGCAAAAGCTCTATAGAGGACTCAGCAAACGCGGTGGGTGGATTCCTTGTCAAATTATAGCAACACTTATCCATGTGTTGGGATGACTGAAGATCCAGTCCTAAACCAAAAAGGTCATTGACAAAATTCAGTGTCTAGATGCGCAAACCTGGAAGAGGCTATGCCAATAAAGCAGCAGCTTTAATTGCAGTAAAAAGTAAGGCTATGTGTTGCCTGAATACAAATAAACACCACACTTTTCAGATCACAGCTGCGCGCAAAACCTCATAAGCATTTATCAATTAAAAGAAGCTGGATGGATACCTCATTGTTCGCATGGGGAAATGTGTCTCAGACATTGTACAAGAGTTGTATATTAATAAGGTTGTATTCATTTTTTACTTGAACTTTGATGCTTAAGTGCATCATAAAATGTATACTTTTAAGGATGAATTATTTAAAGATTTATATGTATTTCACTGTATAGCAAAATTGCTTTTTAAACAAAAATCGGTCATTTATTCAGTTGATCTTTACCATTATTCCTGTGAAATTATTCCAACATTTGGCCCTCCATAGGGGGCAAGCACCCACTCTGTAAAGCATTGGATTAGAAGACTGCTTTGAATAAGTCCACTTTTATACCAAATGAGCACATAGAACACCAGGGTGCAGGAACAAAAAGTTACCAGTAGGTGGCAGTGTTTATGAATTTGGATTGATTACATTTCAGCTTCAGTTCCCCATAAAATAACTTAAATTTAAATTTAGGTTTCAAATTCTTTGTATTCTTATATTAAAGGTACAGAACACATAGGGCTTCAGTGTTTTTTATTTTATTTTGGAAAAACCTTTAATGGCTGCCGTCATCAACTTCTACAGCAGAGGTAACTAATTACATTTACTTCCAAAATGTAGTTTTGGTAGTGTAACTGCATCACGTGTTTTACTTTATGCTGAATGATATATAAAGAAGAACAAGCTTGCTTTAACCAGAAATGCACCAAATACAGTCAAAGTTTGTTAAAATGAGTTTTTATTGTGCTTACAAGCTTCAGTGTTGTTACTTTCTACCTGCTGAGCCTGCAGTGGCAACATAACTGAATATATAGTAAACAGTAGACACTTAAGGTACTTTTTCTACTGTAAGTATTGCTTTCATGTTAAAAAAATATCATAGGAAAAGTCTTTTTTCAGCCTGTATTTGTTAATTTTTTTTTTCATTTGCATCTGTTTTAGGTTAGTCTTAGACAATAGCAGAATCTGTGCAAAAAGTTTAAAATGTTTGTCTTCTAATGGCATTTCAAAAATATTAAATCAAATGTTATCAGTTATTTGAACTACAATTCAACCAAACATTATGTTCTTAGTTAAGTCATTATTGGATGGTATTTTACTTCTTCTCAAGCTCAATTAAAAAATGCGTTCAATATTGGCTTCTCTACCTCTGCTTAACATACATCATGTTTAGGCATGACCGTGCAATTATATTTAAATGCATAATAAGCTCATTTTATGTGGAACATTTTTATCCAGAAATGCCTGGTCTTTAAATTATTAGGGCTGAAGCCTTTATTTCACTTGTCAGTAGTCACTTATTTAAATAAACAATTGAAACATTCATTGACTAATCAATAATTGTAGAATGCAAACAGGCTACTTGTTGAAAGAACCCATTAATAGCAGAAATTAAGCCATGATGAAAAACCTTTGTAAATTTGCTCTATTCAGGACTTAAACAACATTTCTGAGCTTTGACTTTTGTAAAAAATGTTTTACATGTAAATACTTGTTTATTGGGGTATGTGCATTTATTAAGAATATCTCTTATTAGAATAATCAAATATATAGTCACTAGATTAATTGATCACTAAAATAATTGAGATCTGCAGCCTTACTTTAAGGACCCTCATGATTTTTTGTTTGTCCTTCATGATATCCCAGTATGTCTATGTTCTACAAGCAATGACATTTAGTTTGTAGTTTCTTTCTTAGGCGTTCATGATGCCTTCGGTTCTTAAACGCTCTTTAACAAACCTTTAAAGCAATCAGCTGCTCTTGATTTTATTTCGGGGTATCAGGATAAAACACTTAAGTAAAGCTGTAACTATAGATATCACCACTACTACCTTGAAGAAACAGTCTTGAAGATCGTACTTCCGTTTCGTTTAATACTGGTGACTCATTCCACCGCCCCCCCCTAACTACAAGGGAAAATAAACAGTAATGATTTACTTGGTATGAAGGCATAGAACCTGCAGCTAATTTTGTTTGAGCTACTGCAAGACCTTCCTTAAGTTGACCTGAATCCTGATCTGTAACATAGTACGATATACACAGAGAAGGTCATTGTAGCTTTAACAGCAGAGGTATGCATGTTCATTCTACTCCTAGGATCCTGTTTTGTAGTCATGTTCTGGCTTGCAGAGCATGTCTGCATTACAGTTGAAGGTACAAAAGAATTCAGTTTTGTTTTATACCCTCCAGATAAATAAAAGGAGCAAGAATTTAACTGAGCAATCATTTTACGCAGTTACTCAAGAGGCATGCTTTTCCTTTCATTTTGGTAAAACAATTGCAATTCTGTATTGATACTAAAACTTCAAGAAATAACATACAACATTTAAATGTTTACTTAGTGTTGATGACCATCTAAAAAGGTGTTTTTCTTCTCCTATTCTTTTTAAACCTAAAGGAGAGCTCATGACTCAACATGGCTGGGACACACCTCACCAGGCTATACAAAACCTGTTTTACAGGAAAACGGCACAAACATACTAAGACAAAAACAACATGGATCTGGGTTAAAATACTCGCCCGCAACAGTTAAACCGGGTGCAGTGCTGGATCCTTGGATTGTGTATGTATGAAGGGGAATCCTGTCTTCAGACATTTTATCTTGACCCCCCCATCCATGACCAAAAAACAGGTTCTTAAAAACAAGATCTTTAATAAAAGTTCAAGACAATTTATAGTGTTTTTTTTTCTACAACTGACTGAAGAAGCAAACTGGCCAATTATTAATGTCCGAGTCTGTGACTGTCTCAAGCTTTCAGTTTCAGCCTTGACTCAGCTTGTTTCGTATGTCTGAAGGCAACAGGTCGAACAGGCTGTCCTCTACTATCAATCCACTCCGTCTCAGCAGAGGACAGTCCCCTATCTCCACTGGTAGAGACTCTAGGCGGTTTCCCTTAATATCCAGCCGCACCAGCTGGGCTAAATTTTCCACTCTGGAGCTAAGAGATGAAAGGCAATTGTTACAGAGAACCAGTGTCTTTAAACGTTTACAGGAATACAGCTCCTCTGGCAGAGCCTCTAGGGAGTTGAAGGCAGCAGAGAAGAACTGAAGACCCTGCAGGATGCTCACTTCTGGAGGAAGATATGTGATCTGATTGTGAGAGACATCGAGGTGCCTTAGTTTAGTGCAGTAAAACAGCCGAGACGGAAGCTTTTTCAGCTTATTCCAGCTTATGTCCAGAGTCTCCAGTGTGCGCAGCTTAGTGATATGTTCAGGAATGTAGGATATTTTATTGTGCCACAGACGGAGAGTCACCAAACGCCGACAGTGCTGCAGACTCAGGATCTCTTCCACAGTGGTGAGCTTGTTGTCCTTCAGGTCCAGCTCCTGCAAGTTGTTGAGGCTGAAAACAGCACTTGGGATGCGTTCAAGGTCACAACCTGACAGCTCTAATGAAACTAGGTTTGTTAACTTCTTCAGGCTGCTAAAAGCCTGGAGCTTGACCCCTTCATTGTGGATGCACAACCTCTCTAACTGTGCAGCCAGATCCACGATACTGGGTGGTATCTTTCTAAGGTTGGACCGTAGACTGAGGAGCCTTAAAGAACTTAGAGATCGCAGGGATTCTAGGGTACCGCTTTTGGACACCTCACTGATCAAAGGACCAGTAAGATATAACTCCTCCAGAGAATGAAGAGAATACATCCACAAAGGGATCTCCTCTGAAGTCTCAAAAGTCAGACGTAAAACCTTTAATCGCTCTTTGAGGTGGTTTACGGCAGGCAGTTGCATCTTTGCGGGACAGTAGATCAAGGACAACTGCTGCAAAGATTCCAGTTTCGCCACAGAAGCCGGAATGGTGGCATTTTTAACTTGCTCCAGCTTGAGTGATTCAATTTCTGTAATCTCAAATATGGTGTCCGGCAGCCCTGGCAGCCCTAAAAGATAGAGCTCTAATTTATCGTTGGAGTTCTTGGTCAGGTGAGTGCGCAGCTTTTTGTTGGTCCACTCATAGTTAAGGTTGAGCTGGTGAAGGTGGCTCTCACTGACCTCAGACAGAAAAACTGCAAACCTTTTAGGATAAAGAGCATCATACTGGTCCACAAGGTGAAGCAGGAAAGCAAAGTCGTTCTTTACATCCGGTATGTCGTTGATACCCGTCTCCAGTCGGACATACTCAAAGGAGTACTCCTTCAGAGGTCGGTGGAACACCCAGTAGAGGGTGTAGATGCACATGAGTCCATACACTCCTACAAAGCAGATGTAGCAGTAAGCAAGCTTGGAGAAAAGATGGGCTTTGGTGTGGTTGCAGCAATAGATGTCAAAGCCAGTCAGGTCAGGAGGGACATCACAGCGCACAACAATTTCAATGTTCGATACTAGCACTGCAGTATAAACAATGATTATGAGGAACTTGAAGACTTTGAGAGAGGTTTGTAGTACATACATAAGGTACAAGATATCTGCCTCCTCTACATGAGTTCGAAACTTCTTGACCTTTTCAAAAAGAGCTTTGGCCTGCTCTCCCTCCTTTTTGTCCAACACAGAAGGCGTAGACTGAGGCTCCGGAGTTTTCTTTTCAGGATTAGACTTCACAGAGGCGGAGCGAATAAGCCCTATGGTCTCCTCTTCCTCTGCCCGGTCCTTAAAATCTTTCGACATGGTGTTCCTCCTCAAACTCACCAGCTTCTCCTCTCCTCTCTCCTCTGAAACCTCACTCAAGGCCCTTGTGGTCCAGGGTGAGTCAAAGCACTTCCCCAAAATGTTGACAAAAAGGTCTATTTTAGAAGATGTCCCAGGGAATTTGAACCAGAAGCTACTTGCTATCATGAAGATCATAGTGTGGATCACCACAAGGTACGGAAAGTACTTAGCATACCAGTGCACAAACCGCTCGTAGCAATAGTGGTTGACAAATAAGTATTGGTGAATGTCCAGGTTATTCTTGCGACCAAACACCTCCTTTACGATGGGGCTGACAGACTTGTCTAGCGTTCTGTCTGACGTCTTGTTGGGTTCATGGTCAGTGATGTAGCTGCAGTTTATTGCGTCTTTCACAGGGCTGGTGATATGGCTGGGCAGACATGCAATCTTGTCTTGGGTGAGCTGAAGAAATCAGAGGGAAAATGTGGGTTAATGGCCTAAATATGAGAGCATTAGGAAGTAAAATATGGCAGAGCATGATGAAAGAATCAAATTATTAAAATGGTTAAGAAGAGACAAAAAATAAGCTTTTCATTATTCAGGTGTTGGGACTCTAGGGTACTACATCCCCCCTCCTTTTGCTACAGTAATTTATCATCATCATAATGAAAAATTAAGAGAAATCAAACCTTCTATTAGATCATTAGCAATCTTTTTTTTATAACAAAAACCACACGTAGAGTAATTAGGTATCACAGCTGCTAATTGCTAAAGTCTTGCCCCATCTCACCATCCCTCTCTTCAGTCTCTCCAGTCATGGATCTTTCCTGTACAGCTTACCCAATGGGCTTTTAACAGAATATCTGTCTGGACCCAAGGACTAGGGTGTCCTAGAAGAAGGTCAATGCTGCATCTTTTAAACCAGTTTTGTGTTGACGTTGGATCATAATTCTGTTGAAGGTCCAATGATGATCCATTCAATGCCAACAGATTGTTTAAAAAACTCCTTTGCGATTCAAAGACTTCACGATTCCATGTAGAGTAAAAATTTTCCAAAGGCGTTTAGAATGGAAACAGCCCACAGCATGATAGATCCTTAACCAAGGCAAAAAAAAGAGTTGCTTTTTCACATTCTCATCCTTTGTTTTATACCCATACAGCAGACCTATAAAGTGCTGCTGGCACGTCTTCCAACTCCTGTTCTTTCCCACTAGCCATACCTACACAATTCTCCACAACAACTGATTTTTTTCTGTTACACCCGGCTACGCTGCTTCGCTTCTTCTTGTTTACTACTGGTGGTTGGCTTTGGTCGCAGTACCGCCACCTTCTGCTCTGGAGTGTACACGCGTCGCCTATGAGAAAAAGGAGCAGCGCATGAACCGAACATAACACACGCGAACCGAACCGAGACAGTCGAACCGAACGGTCCGGACGGTTTTCATAAGCCATTCCATCCCTAATGTGTGTGTATATATATATATATATATATATATATATACACATATATACATACACATACACACACACACACACACACACACACACACACACACCCCGGAAGCAAGAAGCTACGGTTTACTAAACTGAAGTTCCTAGAAAATTTTGATCGATCAAAAAGCACATAATTAATTTTAATGTTTCAGCTGCATCTATTTTGAGGCCGTTGTTTTGGTTTTTATTTACTGCCATTTCTAACCCACTGAATAAAAATACCAGTATTAGACGCTTAGATTTTTCTTAAGATTTCAGTGTGAGATTATCCTTCTGCATCGAAAGACTCATTTATTCCTAAGATATTTATTCACATTTAAAACAATGTGACCTTCTATGGATCACTAGTGTAGAGTTGAGAGTGATATATACTTTTTAAGTACTCAGGTAGCTTGGAGGTCAGAAACTGCAAATGTTTTTTTTCTTTAGTACTGAAACAGACAGAGAAGGGTGTGGGGGGGATTTAACATTCCTACACGTCACTAGGGGGATGCAACAACAAGCACATAAGAAGCAAATAATTAACCCCACCAGGAATCTTAAGTTGGAGCAATTAAGGGAGTAACATGCTGTAAAAATATCTTTCATGCTGACTGATACCTCACCTGCAGGGTGCAGCCAAATACACCAATCATGAGCATCGCAATGCACAGGTACTCTGACAAAACATCCCACCATGGTTTCAGGACCCGGAACTGGGAGTTCGAATCTATCCCAAAGTTTTTGAATTCACCCACTGGGATCATGCTGCCGCGCTCTGATGGAGGAAGGACACTAAAGGTTATCATGGCTTTGAATTGAAATACAACTACGGAGGTGTGGCAGATATAAAAGATAAAAATACATGTTACAATGGAACACAAGCATTAGTATCTGTGTCTTTGAAAGAAATAAATAAAAATATGGGGCTACAAGGAGAGTTTTTTTTTCCAAAAACAATAGCCAATTTCTGTTTTTCTTTTAAACACTGTTGTTATTTATAGATGTACTGTAACACACAGATATTCAGATGTTGTAGAAATATATTGGTGGGTGATAATTATTAAACACACGATTTAGTTTGCATGAGAAAAAAATAAATAAATAAAGAGGCAAATTCTGCAATATATTGAAACGTGATTTTCTTATCTGAAATTTAGGTTCAAGTATCCTGCAACTTTTTGAGTTTTCCCTAATCCACTCAGAGGCGTAGCCAGAACATTTTTATAAGGGTGGCCAGGCAATAACCAATGTACACTGAGGGGGGGGCCGAAAGTAGATAGGCTCCAGAACCTCACGGTCAGTCTACACTGTTCCAACAGGAAAATTAAGGAGCAAACACCCACATTTTCTAAATAAAGACAAACTATACTTTCCTACAGCTTTTGCTAACAAATAGACGCATATATATATATATATATATATATATATATATATATATATATATATATATATATATATATATATATATTTATTAACATCCGTGCTTTCTAAATAAAAGGTATAGTGGATAAAATTCTTTCAGTTTTGAGATCTGGGAGATAAATCTTTTTTATCATCATTACTTACCTACTTGTATCAATAAACATTCCACATAAAATTGATATTTACAAGCACTAATATCAACATAAATTGATTATTTGATAAGTTTATATTGAAATTGTTATTTATCTATGATTTCACTGAAGACTCCAAGATGACTTGTAGAGACGCATAATATTCTCATTATCCCATATAACACAAAATCTAGTTCTGAAAAGAGCCTGAATTCTATACTAATCATCTTTGATGTTAGTATATTGTATATACTAACATTATACTGTGTATAATTAACCACAAAAAAATTTAAGATTTTGAATATTCCACTTGAGAGAATTACTGCTGCCACCATCTTTATTAGAGTGGGAAAAAAATGGTAGGGGTGGCCAATGATTGGGTAAGGGTGGCCATGGCCACCCCTGGCCCCCCATCTAGCTCCGCCACTGAATCCAGCACACCTGGATCAAATGGCCACAGCATGCAGACAAGTTCCCCACAGTCTTACTTATAAACCAATTATTTGATTCTGGTGTGTTAAAGCAGAGACACGTTTAAAAAAGTTTAACTAAAGTGATTGAAATCATCAATAAAACCGTCTGGCTGAGAGTTGGTGGCAAAAGAAGAACCTGACCCCACCTTGGTTGACCTAAAGTGGAAAAACTAGTCAGACAAGAGCAAACAGCTATTACCGAGAATGTGGATTAGAGACATTAATATGTTCTAAATTATGCCTATCAATAACGATGCTGTAAGCAAGATATCAGCTCAAAAACATTAGATCGAAACGCTTTTTAGCAGATTACCTGCTCAATAAGTCACCCTAAAAATAGGTTCAACTTTACAGAAACTTACAGGCGCTCCTACATTTACCTGAGCTGCATTATTATTCATTAATTGTGGATCCAAAGGTACAGTAAAGGTGAGCGTCGCCATGTGGGTCAGCCTTACCTGCGTCCCGACAGAAGCCGTGGCTGTCCACTGATAACCTGACAACTTGCTTTTTTTCCTCATCACCTTGAAGGAGCGCACCGGTGTGAAGCGGCACGCAGCTTACATGAGACTTCCGGTTGATTTTCAAAATAAACTCCTGTTCAAGCTTAACCCATTTCAAGCAACTACATGTTAAAATCAAGACCGGAAAACAGGAACTGCGTCAGTGTTTTGATACCTGTGATATCTATCTATCTATCTATCTATCTATCTATCTATCTATCTATCTATCTATCTATCTATCTATCTATCTATCTATCTATCTATCTATCTGTCTGTCTGTCTGTCTGTCTGTCTGTCTGTCTGTCTGTCTGTCTGTCTGTCTGTCTGTCTGTCTGTCTGTCTGTCTGTCTGTCTTCTATGAACAAATTCCATTCTCAGAAGCTTTTTCAGATTTTTACAAATAACATTTGATTTTAAATTTCACAGCAGAAGGATTTTAGAAAACTAGAAACATTCTTTAAGATCCATATTTTTTGTCATTAGCTTGAAAACGTTTTTTTTTTCTCCCAGAAAATACCTGTTGAGGAAAATCATCTTTCCTCTTTAGAAAATATTTTTGTTTTGTCCTAACTTTTAACCCTGTAAACCAAACATACATGTTTTTTTTTACACTTTTTAACACATTAAACATTCTGGCAGCTAAAAAACATATTTTTTGCATAATTGAAATTAGAGATGTTAGTGTTTCATTTGTGATACATTACCCATGATTGTCTGCTTTTGATACCGAAGGCTTCTTATCAAACCTGACTTTAAAATACAATATGGCTGCCTTGAACACTAAAACTTATTTACAGCAACAGTTAATGACACATTGCCAAAGTGTTAAAAAATAGCAGAGAAATACCAGTAGCCTACTGCTAAATGTACGTAACTTCATCGCTTTTTGAACTTGATGCTGAGATGAATTTAAGGTGGGTTGAAACCAATCTCTCAGATTAAACTTTAGAGGTAAACTAAACTTCTTTTCCCCTTTCGTCCACTTGATCACAGTTCTTTTGTTTGCATTTACTTTGCAAATATTTAATACCAACATTTCCTCAGAGCATTACAGCAGAGATCTATTGCTAGAACGGCTGTATTTGGTGAGATTACAGCCTAATACTCCTTTGAATACTCCCAGTGTGGGATGCTTCCTTTCAGCTCATGTAATAATGGCCTACTGTTTCCAGCTGGCAGATTTAAGCGGGAAGTGTGTCTCCAGCCCCCATGGGTGGTCGATAAAAATAAAAAAAAAATCAAACTTTCTTAAAATAAAATATTCCAACATTTGTGATCTATATTATAGTTAAATTTAATCTGATGAAAAAATGTGGCACTATATGAAAGATCTCTGGTTCCCTCTAGTGTCTATAAAAGCATGTCCTGCAGTGACATGGACAGTGAAACCACTGTGTTTAAAATGTGGAATTTTTTTATTTCCTTGAAAACCTTATTTACTTTCTGCATTATTTTCAATCTGCATCTTTGAGCACAATCCAGCTTAAATAGTCACATTAAACATGATTACATCCCTGGTCGTCTAGTGGTTAGGATTCGGCGCTCTCTGCCCGGTCAGGGAATGTTTTAGAGTCAGGGATGCATAGGGCTTTGAATCCCACAGACAGTCACTCTGGCTCCCTGAGCAAGACCTTTCACCCCACACTGCTCCCTGGGCGCCGCACAATGGCAGCCCACTGCTACCCAAGGGGATGGGTTAAATGCAGAGAAGTAATTTCCCTCTGGGATTATTAGAGTATATAAGATAAAACTTTATTGCGCATCTCTGGTGTTTCTGCTATTCTTCACATATCTATTTCTGTAAAAATGTTCACAGCTGTTATTGATTTTTTTATACTCCAGATATAGAGTATTTATATTGTAAAAACAGTGTAAAGTACAATACTTTATTTTCTTATGTTATATTTATACTTTCTAAGGTCCATATTGTGTGACCACTTCTGCTATTGCCTTATGCTGCTGTAACACCACACTTTCCCCATTGTGGAACAATAAAGGGATTTTCTATTCTATTCTATTCTATTCTATTCTATTCTATTCTATTCTATTCTATTCTATTCTATTCTATTCTATTCCATTCTATAAATATAGCCAAACTTCTCACTTCACTCTCCACAGTTTTTTTATTCATGCTCACACAGTCAGTTGTTTCCCTGGTTTTGAGCATGTTCACAATAATTTTGCAGTGCTGTTGTAGACATGCAATTGCATAAAAATTGTGTAACTGAAAGTTACCATAAAAACAAATGTTTTCCCCTAAAGAGATAGTAATGTTCCTCTTTTTTCAATAGGTGGCGCTGTGGTCAGAAGTTTCCAATCTTCCATAATCAGCATGAGCATAAATACTTTGAACAGTACTTTTTTCAGATGTGGAATAACTGAACAACTCCATTAATTTTCTTAAAATATGCAAATACACAAGTTTGTATTTTCTGTGTTTTTACTGTTTTTTTTTTAAAGTACCTAATACTGAATACAGGTGCTGGTCATAAAATTAGAATATCATGAAAAAGTAGATTGATTTCAGTAATTCCATTTAAAAAGTGAAACTTGTATATTATATTCATACATTACATACAAACTCATATATTTCAAATGTTTATTTTGTTTAATTTTGATGATTACAAATGACAACAAATGAAAATCTCAAATTCATCATATCAGAAAATTAGAATATTGTGAAAAGGTTCAAAATTGATGGCCCCTGGTGCCACACTCTAATCAGCTAATTAACTCAAACCACCTGCAAAAGCCTTTAAATGGTCTTTCAGTCTAGTTCTATAGGCTACACAATCATGGGGAAGACTGCTGACTTGACAGTTGTCCAAAAGACGACCATCGACACCTTGCACAAGGAGGGCAAGACACAAAAGGTCATCGCTAAAGAGGCTGGCTGTTCACAGAGCTCAGTGTCCAAGCACATTAATAGAGAGGCGAAGGGAAGGAAAAGATGTGGTCGAAAAAAGTGTACAAGCAAGAGAGATAACCGCACCCTGGAGAGGATTGTGAAACAAAACCCATTCAAAAATGTGGGGGAGATTCACAAAGAGTGGACTGCAGCTGGAGTGAGTGCTTCAAGAACCACCACACACAGACGTATGAAAGACATGGGTTTCTGCTGTCGCATTCCTTGTGTCAAGCCACTCTTGAACCACAGACAGCGTCAGAAGCGTCTTGCCTGGGCTAAAGAGAAACAGGACTGGACTGCTGGTGAGTGGTCCAAAGTCATGTTCTCTGATGAAAGTAAATTTTGCATTTCCTTTGGAAATCAAGGTCCCAGAGTCTGGAGGAAAAGAAGAGAGGCACTTCATCCACGTTGCTTGAAGTCCAGTGTAAAGTTTCCACAGTCAGTGATGGTTTGGGGTGCCATGTCATCTGCTGGTGTTGGTCCATTGTGTTTTCTGAGGTCCAGGGTCAACGCAGCCACATACCAGGAAGTTTTAGAGCACTTCATGCTTCCTGCAGCTGACCAACTTTTTGGAGATGCAGATTTCATTTTCCAACAGGACTTGGCACCTGCACACAGTGCCAAAGCTACCAGTACCTGGTTGAAGGACCATGGTATCCCTGTTCTTAATTGGCCAGCAAACTCTCCTGACCTTAACCCCATAGAAAATCTATGGGGTATTGTGAAGAAGAAGATGCAATACACCAGACCCAACAATTCAGAAGAGCTAAAAGCCACTATTAGAGCAACCTGGGCTATCATAACACCTGAGCAGTGCCACAGACTGATCGACTCCATGCCACGCCGCATTGCTGCAGTAATACAGGCCAAAGGAGGCCCAACTAAATACTGAGTGCTGTACATGCTCATACTTTTCATGTTCATACTTTTCAGTTGGCCAACATTTCTATAAATCCTTTGTTTTTATTGGTCTTCAGTAATATTCTAATTTTCTGATATGATGAATTTGGGATTTTCATTTGTTGTCATTTGTAATCATCAAAATTAAACAAAATAAACATCTGAAATATATGAGTTTGTATGTAATGTATGAATATAATATACAAGTTTCTCTTTTTAAATGGAATTACTGAAATCAATCTACTTTTTCATGATATTCTAATTTTATGACCAGCACCTGTATATCCTCAGTATTTCCACCATATTCCTCCATCCATTAACAAGATAATGGCTTTATTGGATTTCAGAGCTCCATTCTTTGCAGGTCGTTTCAGTGTTTTGACTGTTGGGCTCTTTTATCCATTCCAAAACTTTAATTTAGCTTTTGTTTTATCTCAAATATTTTTTTAAAGGGCACCTGGCTTCTTCATGTGGGTGGCTCCAAAAGGTGGGTGTTGACTTTGGCAATGTGGAAGCAGGCTTTCTGCCAGACCTTGGCAAACTGGTGACACATCTGAACAACTTGTACTTGCATACAATCCTCTGGCGCCACATCAGCGGCCGAGTGGAAAGTTTTTAGGAGCTTCTTGTAAAAGCTACGATTTGTTCGACCTCTGCAGTATTTCTTAGTGTCCTTTATATACAAAAAAAAAAAAAAAGTTGTCCATTTATTTATTATTCCTAAGAGGCCTTATAGAGATAAAATTTACAGCGCAATCAATAAAATTAACAAGTTGATGTAAATCGACTTTACAAACTCTGAGATAATCGCTTCACTATAAGTTATTTGGCTCTTTTCTCATCTTATTTGAGGAGTCCAACTTTTACACCATAATCCTAATGACAAAAAATATATAAAAAATACAGTTTTAGTAGTTTTCTGAGCATTTTCCCTTAGATTTAGCATTTTTGTCTTGATTTTAGGCCCGGTTTTTTTTTTTTTCCCCTTTCACAAATCCAGCAAGAAGTTTACCAGACGGTAAAAAAAAAAACAAAAAAAAAAAAACTGTTTATAGACTTTTTGTTAACAAAAATGTACTTTAAAAAGTAAATTTTTTTAGTGTTATTTTTGCTTTTACTAGTATGAAGTAGTGCTGCTCTTACTTAAATCTTTGCTTCATTGAATTGAAGAATAATTGCCTTTTAATTAAAATATTGAGGCAAGTTTTTTTTGTTGTAAAATTTAAAGGTCAAACCAATATTTATAAAACTGTA